TTAGATGAGTGATTTAACAGGTTAGAATCAGGTTCTGCATTTTCAAAACAATGAAAAGAAAATGAACTCTCTTCGAGCAATATAATTTTCGTATAAGTCATTGTGTTTCTTGTTATCGAGTCACGGTGAACAGTCCTCCTGTCAAACATGACTTGACTATCGCTTGTTTCGTTTGTCAAGTGCGTCAGTTCATTCCATTTGAAGCAAAGAATTGTTTCAATTGACGCAATGAATGATTCAAAAACTACTTCCTTTTTTTTCCAATTTCACTTCAATTCGGGGTTAAACGAAAATTAAATTAACGAAATTAAGTTAAGTCCGGAAAAGTCTCAAATGCCCTGCAATATGGGTATTTTCGGAATGAAGACGACGCGAATGTGCCGAAAATCGATGTCTGTCGTCATTTTGGAATCCAATATGGCGGGCATTGGTCTCAGAAAAAGTGTCAAATACCCTTAGATATGGGTATTTCCGGAACGTGGACGACGCGTAGATGCCGTAAATTGTCATTCAACGCCATTTTGGAATCCAATATGGTAGCCATCGGTTTTTAAGAAAAGTGTCTAATATCCTACTATATATATCCGACGCCATTTTGGAATCCAAGATGGCAGCCATCGGGTTTCTAAAAAAATTTCAAATATCCTACAATATGGGTATTTATCGAACGGGGACATCGCGTAGATGCTGAAAAACGATATCCAACGCCAATTTGCAATCCAATATGGTGGCCATCGGGTTTCAGAGAAAGTGTCAAATACCCTAAGATCTGGGTATTATCGGAATAAAGACGACGTGTGGATGCTGAAAATCGATATTTGACGCTATCTTGGATTTCATCGGCATATGACATCGATTTCTGGCCTGTAAATGTCACCCCGATTTCAAAAATACCCACATTTATCGGTATTTGACAGTATTTCACACTTTTTCTGACCCAAAGCCACCATCTTAGATTTTAAAATGGCGTCAAATATCGTTTTTTGGTCTCTAGATGCTACATGACATATTCACCACAAGACATATTCACATGATTCTAAAAAACCCTTATGTATGCACACAAAGAAAAGTCGTTGCTAAAATTAATAAAACCATTGGTAGAATTAAAAGTTTGCATTGGTTCTTTTTGGTAGAAAGCGGTTGGCTTTCAAAACAAAAGTCAGCCAACTGTTAAAGCAAAAGTTGACCGCTCACTACTTTCAAAAGTTAAAACTTTCAAAATAAATTGTACTACTGTCAAATTAAAAGCTCGGGAGTGGTAGAATTAAAATTGGCATCTTTTCAATTCAAAACAAAGTTTCGGTTTGAAAATGTGATATAGTTGAAACAATAAATAACATTTTAAATAGAAAAACAAAATTTTGAAATTAAAAACATGCATTTTCATTGTAATATCACTTTTTTTTTTCATTTTAAATTCTAAATAATATTTAATTTATGCAAAACAGATCAAAAATGTATTTATTTTCATTTCCTTTTCAACTAATTAACAATTATGAAACGAAATTCACAGAGAGACACAGGTAGACATCCCGGTAAGTGAGGGTTGATACGAGGAACACAGAATCCAGACACTGACAAGGCAAGCTTGGTATTGTTTTCCATTTGCAGAAAGTACCAACTGGTGACGGATTCTACGGGCAGCTGGTTTTCGTCCTTCTCCCAATCAAAGCTGAATTTTCGTTTTTCCGAGGCTTGTAGTAGGGTTTGATCCTTCTCCGACAGGAATTTTATAAGGTCGATACCGAAACCTGGCGTGATGTCGTCCTGGCAGATTTCATAATCTGATATAAAAAAGAATCTTAAATCCAATAACAATAACAATGAAAATAGTTTACTTACCATTTGGAATGTCAATTTCACATGAGTCTCCACGAGGGCCTCTAGCAGCGAATAATTTCGGAATATCTAACTAATAACAGTTCAGTTTCTGGTATCCCACAAAAGAACATGACTCTTGTTGTAGCTTCTTACCTGGATTTCATGTTTACAGCGGCCAGACTAGTGAAAAGGGCGGCATATAAGATTCCAGTGCAGCCAGTAAAAACATCGCTGAGGGGTATTTTTGACAGTTGAACAACTTTTGTTTTAAAAATATGTACTTTTAAAATCACGAGTCAAAAGTAAAAGAAAAACTTTCAATTAAAAAATCCAACTTTTATTTTGAATATTTTTGCTGTTGAAATTAAGAATTTTGGGAAAATTTTAAAATGAAAATGCATTATTTTTATTAATACAATTTTCGTTGTTTGTGTGTGGGTATTTGGTAGAATTTCCCACTTTTTCTTGAACCGGAAGCCTCCATCATGGATTTCAAAATGGTGTCGGATATAGATTTTCATTCTCTAGACGTCATCCCGATTAAAAAAATACCCATATTGAGGGTATTTTCCAGTATTTTCCAAATGGAGACCACCATCTTGGATTTGATAATGGCGTCGCATATTTATTTCCTATCTCTAGACGTCACCCCGATTCCATATTCATGGGTCGGCATTAGTGGTTTCAAAATGTCGTCGGATATCAATTGGTTAACAGCTTCGTCGTCGCTTGATGATTTTCGATTAATAGTGACATTGTTTGGGCCCTGGTTAGAATATTTGTTTTATTGGTATTAAATTATGTGAAATTTAGAAGTGGAAGAGAATGCGAAGTGCTATACGAGAGCCGCACAGAGAGATGATTATAGAGCTTTTTGATGTTTAATCGGCGCACACTACTGCACCATTTAAATCGAATGGGAAAAGCAAGTGATGTGCAAAGGTGAAGACAAAAAAAAACCAATATTAAATTGCAAATGCAAACCCACTGATTTTTTTTTTGATCGAAACAAAAATTGAATCAAAAAAATCGATCCACTCGATTTTTGTCGTGTTTGAGATCGATTAAAAAAATCGATTAATCGAACCAAAAGAATCGATTTTTTGTGTTTCGATCCAAGATCGCCCATTGCTAATCAGAACGCAGGTGATTTCATTAGAAAACGATCATTGCTTGTTCAAAATCAGTGAACTTTTGAGGCTCCTACAATCGAGGTCCTAATCGTGGTTATGAAATAAATATAATAAAATTTATTGTCTTCTTCTTCTTCTTCGCATTTCAAGCTTATTGCTTATGGCATATTAGCTTATTGCGTGCTCTTAACTTAGTGTTCTAGATGCACTTCCACAGTTATTAATTGAGAGCTTTCGATGCCTGCTACCATTTTTGCATTAGTATAATTGTGTGGCAAGTACAATCATACTCTATGCCCAGGGAGTTGAGAAATATTCCAACCCGAAAAATTCCTAGACCGGACCGGGAATCGAACCCAGTCATCTCCAGCATGGTCTTGCTTTGTAGCTGCGCCTTTACCGACTGAGCTAAGGGAGGCCCCAATCTATTGTATCACCATTAAAATAATAGGAAGTCTCAACGTCATATTATTGGTCACTGAAAAAAATACACAAAAACAAGTTGCCTTGACGTAATTCAATTGAATAGCATCTTCGCGAGTTTTTGTTTAACCGTAGTTTAGCACAATAAAAAAATACACAGGTCCTCCCTAGGCCCCCTCCAGAGAAATTTTCTAGCTACGCCAATGAGCGCCTGTCTTGATTACATTGGCAGTCCGCTCCTCTCTTATACTAGACCCTCTATAGGGGCGCGTATTATCCCACGTTCCTCTACATTTTTTCCACATACTATTGGTTTTATGCATGCTTGGCATACACAGTTGTACACACCAACTGCTCATTTGTTAATAACTTTTCACTCAGTTGTTTAAATTTGTTTTTCTTTAAAGTAATTGAAAGATTAGGATCATAGTTTACTATAGATATGCAAATAGTAGATAAATTTTAACATTTGAATCAACACCAATGATTTTTTACACTTAAAGTCCGAGATGTGCAGCGAGAATTTCTCACTAGGTTATTACTCGAATTAACAACTGTTTTTTTACGTATCTATAAAAAGCTTAAACTCTATTCTATCTACTACTTCAAATAGAACTATGTTACGTCAACTGTGTATGCCAAGCACACATAAAAATGAGGTCAACGCCAATGCTGTTTACAAAAGATAATGCACCATGCGTCTGCTTCTATTTGAACTTTGTCGATGGAGACACTTTGTCGCCTACTATTACGGGTAGCTTTGTTTGGGAGGAGCTAGGGTTGACACTAATCAATGGGAATTCAGCTCAACTCAGTTGGTTAGTAAACATTCGAAAATTCTGCAATTGGTGGGTTATTATTAAATTTTCAAAAGTGATGAGAAGGCGATTTTCTTCCATGTGATATTAAACAGCACGTCGAAAACATATTTTGTCTAGTTGTCTTAATTTTCTGGCATGTGCTGCATAATTCATCCAAACAAACCAGCAGTCAACACAGCAAACCGGTATTTGAACAAGCTAGAGGCAAATGAACACAAACAACATTAACCGCAGCCTACCACCAACACAACCATGTCTGAACTCAAGCGAATGAACCTCTCTCTGATGGTTCGCTGTTTTTTTTTACTGAACTGAAAACCATACAAACCAAGTGGACTCTGTTTTTTCCTTCTTCTACACTTCCATCAAGTTTTCTTGAAGCAAATGTTTTACTACTGCTTCTGCCAGTTTGCCTATATGTTGATGGGGTCAGCACGACCTAGTTGGTATTATTTGTATAGTCAACCATTTGAATCGCATATGACGTACGTAGGGTACAGAAGACAATAGTTGCACTGCAGTGACTGCAACAAACAACAACGCAAATTATCGATTTCCAGTTTGAATGTGCTTGCAAAATTCATATCCGGTCTATCCTACTATATTAATAACAGATACATAAATGAAATCTGTAACCTGACCACTATCAGATGCAATATCTTATAAGTTGTCGTAAGTAGGTATGTAATGCATAGTGAGTGAGGCGTGCTACGTGTTGTTGGTGGTATCTTCTATTTATAGTATAGACGTTGTTGTATGACGATAGTGTAGGAGATCGTTGGAAGTTCAACGTGTTTCAGTCAAGCTGGAGAGTGCATGGACGGGCAAGCAAAGCAGTATCATTACCGCGTGCAAACCAATCGGACGGACCTAGCAGTTCGCTCTCGCCTTCGAAGTGTAGTCGTGCGGCGGCTCGTGGACTTTACTATTTACATTGTGCTAATTATAGATTGGAAGTGTCAAAAATGCTTTCGTATGCATATGCAGCCATCCAGCTGCTGTTGCAGATCTTCTCCAAAGGATGTCGAATGGTGAAGCGAGAATTCCACAGGTAAGTGCTTCCAAAGCGGTCGAGTTGAGGGTGCTAATTTTGACGCATTCATCAATTTGACATCATAACTCATGGCCGGTTCCGTTGGTAAGCAGAATTTTCTTACATAACTACGCCGTACTCTGCTCAATAACGGGGATGCCTGTTTATGTCCCATACTTCAGCTTGGAGTACCACACGACTAATGAGAGTAACTCAGTGACTGAATCGGATTCGATTCAAAATTTTCAACTGCAATTTGTGTTACTCAGTGAATGAGTAAAATTTTCCTCGCTTTCCAGAAAATCGCCGAACATTTGACTCAGTCTAGGAGAATACTAATAGGCTGAGTGAAATATCTCTCTTGATTTTCCTCATTTCCTGGAAAATCGGGGAAAATTTTACTCATTCATTGAATAACCCCACTTTTTGCCTTTTTGAATCAGATTCGACTCAAGTTAGGGTTACTCTCATCAGGGCCGTACAATAATGCGGATTTCCAGCGCTCTCTCAAACACAACCAAATCCAAATGAACCTTGTTCCGCTTCTCTTTCTCCTCGCTCAGAGCAGTTGATTTGTTCGCTCCTTAGACCAGCTGATTTGCTGATCATTGAACATCAGCTACTCATTCACGCTCCATGGCCACAATAATGGTTGAGAGCAGAGTTGAACATCTTTCGTGGCTGGCTCGCGTAGAAGACGTCAGTAGAAAACAAAACTGAAGCATTCGTATGTTTCAAAGAGAAAGTTAATTAGCTCATACTGCAATGCTCATCTTCTCGTCTGAGGGAGTGCAATGTGGAAAAAGTGTTACACTTCATCACATACACTAAGTGAGATGCAGTTTTGATTGACGGGATGCTTAAAAGTGGTACAGAGAATTGTGCGGTTGAGAAGATAGGTATTTGCATCCAAATATGTGGCGTCGCAGGTCGGAGCAAAGTTCTAAGTGGCAACAACAATCTCGAAAATACAGCTGCTAAACAGGATGAAGATAGCTTATCTGGGCGGATTGCTCGTACGGTGGATTTAAAGCGTGCGCTGGCTGTAGATAGTGTTTTTGCAAAAAATATAAGAATTCTTCTGGTGGCAGTGATAGTGAAATTTATGTTGACGGCTAATTGATAGTACGTAAGCAGGTTACGATCTGTGGGTCGGTGTTTTAGGTGAAACTGTGAAGTCGCTCGCCACGTAACAGCAGAGACATTGGAAAATAGAGGCAAGTTGATGGAAGTTTGATATTAGGCAGCAACGTCTGTAAAGGAATTTCATCACCTGAATTGGATTCGGAAATAATATATCACCGATTGAAATCTTCAACTTCTATACAAAAGTTATGAAATTCTTCTCAGACTTTGTACCCTATAGAGGTGAGATATTCCGGAAGAATACACTTGCGTGAAGTCGTCATTCCTCTCCATTCCGTAAGCAAGTGCAAATATGAACGAAGTGGTTATTTTTAATTTAATCTGCCATGCATTGTTTAAAGCATGAGAGCCTTTTACTGAACAGAATTAAGTGATTTGGTGTGCCTACACTCAAAATAATCGAAACGTTATTGTTACGTGAAAAATCACGTAGGGTATCTCTTTTTACTTTGCTGTCAATTTTACGTGGCCCAAGTAAACGCTACATGATACCACTTATATGTGAACCGAAATTCCTTTCGAAACCGCCAGAATTTTTAATGAAGTTTACGTGATTTACACATACACAGATTCTATGTGCGTTTCACGTAAACCCTAAGTGATTTTCACGTCCGAAAAAATAAATGAGTTCACTCATAGTGCTATTCAATACGACGCTAGTTCATTGTGCATGTTTACATGTCATTGAAAGCCCATATTGGTTTGATTTTTATTTTTGTGAGGCAATATCGAGTAGTAGGTATAAATAATTAAAATTTTACATGGAAATTAATTTAGGTTGTTCCTTTTTTAGTATATTTCAGAAGTTATAATCCGATGCATTTTTGTTAGTGTTCCTGTTTCCGATCCTTGTCTCGGTCGAATTTTGTTTCATTATATTTTTAATACCGATTTATTTTTGTTTTTTGTCTATTTATGTATATTAAGAAATAAAGGATACATTTTATTTAAATCAAATCGGCATTAAATAATCAATTGCAATCACATGAATTTTATCGAAAGAATCACATGACTTCTACGTGATAATCCAGTGACGTAGAAGCTCCATATGTGAATCACGTAAGTCTTACGTGAAAAATGCGATAGAAAAAATCTATGTGTGTTTTCACGTAGCATTGATGTGAGGATTATTTTGAGTGTACTACGTATTTACACTGCGAAATTCGCGTTATTGCAAGATAGAAATGACTTCACAGCAAAAAAATAATTTTGATATCACATCAAAGTGGATGCACTTTAATCGTGTCGAAAATATGGTGTAATATTACTTGTCGAAAAGGACGAAATTATCATTAATACAGTGCATGAACTGACATTACGCTGCTTTTACTGCATTTGTTTATTTTTGTGGTCATACAAATTACAAGAGATTTTCGAAATGATTGAAGTGCATCCTCTTGGATGTAATATTAAAATTTATTTTTTGCTGTGTTCATTAGTCGAAATTCCAACTTGATGTTTATAGCCGAGAGTATGCCATTAATAAATAACTCAAGACAAACAATTGAGAATGCCTCAACTCCATTTTGTAAACAAACCTTGAAAGGCCATTTTGTCGCGAACCGAAACCTATACTCAAAAGATTTTGAAATATAAATAGATTAAAAGTTACGCTAAATCTCAACTCTCCTGACCGACGCATAGCTTGGTATAAAGTGAGAGAATACGAACTTAGTATAAAAATGGTTTATGCATAGATAGAATAAAGTGAATGTTTTTATTCGATTCATAACCGCTATTTTATTTGTATTTAGAGTATGCTTTTCTGTCAGTTTCATTTGCTTTGTTTTTAATGCAAATCAAAAATGCTGCAAAAAAAAACAAAATCATATTTTATTTTCTTGGTACTAGGTACCTATCAACATAGAAATAAATAAGGATATTTATTTATAAATTGTTCTGATCGCTGCGTCATACAAAACCGCTCGAGTTAGAATCCGGTTCACTACCGGACATGGTACCGAGTTAATCAAGTTCAGCCGCATCGCACTTGTGGACCACCACCATCGAATTACTAGTCAGCACTAATTAGTCCGGTGCAGTACAGGCAACAATCAATACGAAACTAACGATTTTAAATTGACTCACCACTTTAGTAGCCTATTGGTCCCAAGCAAACGATTAACGTACCCTATTCTAGTTGAAATTCTATTACTACACTATGTTTGTTTTGATTCGCTATGAAAGTTTGACAGATAACATCAGGGGTGTGTGGATTCATGCAGAACATGCAGGGGTGAGTGAAATAGCTTGGGACTGCTTGGGACCGTTGTTCTGGTACTGAGTGAGCCAAAAATAATAATGATTTTCTTCGGGACCCAGTGGTCTTAGAGTTACCTCTATGGTACAGGTTCTATAACGGGGGCTTGTTGAACAAAGCCGTTAAATGACCAACAACCACGCGTCTTATCGATTCCCTCGCCAATGACGTCAGCCGGTAAGCTGTTGCTTAGGAAATCCGCAGCATTCACAAACGGATAGTGATTCAGTGTGAAGGGCATCGAACCGGACTCGAACCAGCAATCACTGCGGAGAATTTCCCAGGAAATTCGACGGGATTTCAAAGTGGTCGATGGCTCTATGGCGAACGCTTATTCGCACACATGAGTACTTATCCAGCTCTTCAATGCTTCCGATGCATGCAACTGGCTGGCCAGCGGAAAAAATCCACGGTGATGTCAGCGATCATGAGTATCTAAAATTAAGAACCTTGCTAAAAACTAAAAAAAGTGAATTGTAATCTTAAAAACTAACCGAACAACTGCAAGCGTCATCCTGTCAACGTGGCAATTTAATAAACATTGGACGAATTCCTCGCCAATATTCGAACTTAGTATAATTATGGGATCAAATTTTAAGCCGATCTATGCATAAACATTGCTTAACCATAACATGTTTAAATTTTAATCTTTCTTCGATTAGTTATATTATTGAGTGTACATTCGCAAACCTTAAACACAATCGGGTAGAGGAGAGTTTCCTCTACCTGTTCATTTTGTTAGTTTGCGGACTTCGGTTCGTGAGAAAATGGCCTTTCAAAGTTTGTTTACAAAATGGAGTTGAGGCCTTTTCAATTGTTGATCTTGAACTGTATTATCTACTTCAACTGGACATCATTCCCACACACTAAAACATAATGAAAATTACTTGCGACGTAATCTGCTACAAACGATAAAAAATTGAAGATGTTATTAAATTGTACATGTAATTTTACAGAATTTGGTATGTTTGTGATTCAAAGATGTAAATTTACATTTGTCAAGACTGAACATTTGGAGAAAAAACCTCGTTCTTTTCTTCGAATATTCCAGAACATCTGGGACATTCCTTGAAATTAAATTAAGTTCCAAAAACTTCCAGGAAGTTTATTGCAACACCGCATTCGTAAGTCGATGTCTGCCAAGCAGCTGCGATATTCCCTAAACAGAAATGAAGATCCCTGAAGTTCTTAGAGGTTTGCTTAGCTTGTACGACATCGTTTGATCTTCTTAGAAGCTCCCTGGACTTTTTAAAAATTTCCAGCACTACGTTACAAATAAAGTTACTGCATTTCTACCAAGTTTACTGCACTTCTATAATTTCCTGAACTATTCCAACGAACTTCAAATATAGCGGCGCCGATGGTCGGGATTTTCTGAGGCATAAAATCTGTGATCACGCCTTCCTTCGAAAGGGGAGTAAAGCCGTTGGTCCCCGTGCCAAGAGTTGAAGGGTCGATAGGTTAGGTCCAGTTGTGGGAGGTGCCTCCCAGGCGTCGGTAGCATTGGTACTCAGTGCGGAAAACAAGATCGACGGAAAGCAAATCAAGGAAAAACATTGAAACGAACTTCAAAGAAGTGACCTATCAGGGCTGGCAAATATCTTTTTCAATC